GAGAGAGAGAGAGAGAGAGAGAGAGAGAGAGAGAGAGCATTAGCCTGAGTGGGAAAATAGCGAATGACATTGGCTTGATTCCCTCTCCACAGAGAGAGAAAGCCCTCCTCTCTCAACACTCTAGTGAAGCAATCTCCAATCCCAGTATATGGGGTCTTGAGAGAACCCCTTCTGAGCAATTCTCCCTGGTTTTGAAGCAAAAGCTTCACTCTTTCAATGGGAGCTGCAACGCTCTTAGAAATGGCAGCTGCAGCACCACCCATCACAAAATCAGCCACCATTCTCTCAGCTGGGCTGCGAAACGCAGCCCCCCTTGTGTTCTCAGAACCCATCTAAGACGCCCAACATGAGAGAACTAGAGAGAGAAAGTCTTGTGGGGTAGCAGAATTAGAGAGAGAAATAAACATAGATTTCTCAGAATCCGAGCACCCATATAAGCCCATTTAGAGAGAGGTCTTATGGGATAGAAAAACTAGAGAGAGAGCAATACAGGTGTGAAAGTTAGAGAGAGAAACTCTCACGTACACCAGTCCATAATAAATAGTTGATTGTGATTCATGTGAAAAGAGGTTGGGACTCCAGGAATCTGTGCCCGAAGAGATTGAGGTTCCATCTTTCATGTGTGGTTCATGAACCGCGTAGGGGATTGGAGAGAGGGCGAGAGAAAAGTACAGGCGAGGGGCTTAGAGAAAGAAGGGAGAAAGGACTGGACAAAGAGGACAGAGAAACATTAGCAAATATCACAAGTTTCCGATGATTTTGGGGAGTTGGATGAAAACCTTTTGGATCGAACATAACGAGAAAAATGGTCCAACCAGGTAACACAGAGAAAATCAGTGGTGAACTCTTTCAACAATTTTACCATTTTAAGTTAGGCCAAGATGAAGCTTAGGCCTATTGTTTTTTTTGGGTGCAGTTTGCATACGGATGCACCCATGTAATTGTAAGATGCACCTTCAAAATTTTTCGTGGCATATAATTTTGGAGTAATGATACGATTAGATCTTCCTACATCCATTCCAGGAGTAGTATTCAAAATGATCGCCGTCAAATTCAAGTCCACAGCCATATAATAACTTTTTTCAGAGATCTATGTTAAATTTAATAGTTATCTTTTAAAGTCCCATTCATATAGATGTGAAAGGGTCTCAGTGTTATTTTTCATAATTTTGATGTAAAAATGTTCTTCGGATTATCTCAAAATATATTTATATCTAATTAAAAATGAATAGTATAGATAATATGTTGTAACATGTACTATTTATGAGACTTAAAATCTTTTTATTTTTCATAGTCATATATCTCGATGTCGAGACGATTAATCAAAGGGTTTTTCAACATTAAAACTATCTTTTCTGATGGATTTTTAAGGGGCATCCGTAGTTCTACAAGGTAGCATCCTTATATAAATTTTTTTTTTTTTTTTAACAAAAGATGAAGCTCAGGCTTTGTAGGAAAAGACAAAGCCTTATCTTTAAAACTCATGGAAAATTGCAATTTTGGTGTCAAAAAACTTTCTACTCTGATCATCTTGACCTTGAACATTATAATTGTGAAAAAAAAATTAAGATTTGAAGCCTTAAAAATAATACATATTGTAACTTATGATCTGGATGGTCTATTTTCTAAATGTTCATGGATCCACAAAATTTATACTATTTTTTGAGTTGAAAGTTTTATAATCAAATATTAAATTTAGAGCTAGCATAGAGATTACTCACCTCCAAAGTATTTTTTAGATAAAATTTCGAGGTGAGACCTTATTATTATTATTTTTCATATGGCCTAGGTCTTAAAAATTGTATCCTTCAAAGAAATACCTAGTAAGACTTTATAAAACTTATCCAGATTGTCATTGTATAATCGGTGATTTGGCGAGTTGAATTTTAAAGTATATATTTTATTATAATTTAAAGAAATTCATGCGCATACCCCTCAAATTTTCATTTGAAAAAGTTTCACTTAAATTTATTTTTTAAATTTCATATCTTATCTTCAATTTTTCCTTTAGACCAGATTACTTTGGACCTTGACCGTGTAAAGTTTCGATATGGGACCTTCGAAATATTTCTAGATCGAGTTTTACACAAGTGAGTAAATGGACAGTCAACTCCCCTGCTAGAGCATGAATTGTTTTTGGCAAAAGAGTAATAAGGTAACGACGCGCCCTTAAATAGCTAAACAAACATGCAAAAGCGTTTATTTGGTACTCCTCAATCCAATGATCAGAGGAGTATATGTGCTAATTCGTGAATGATAGGACTGTCTAAATAGGAAGAGAGAAAAAAAAAACATAGGCTAAAGAGAGAGGAAGGGAAAATAATAGGGGTTTATAAGCCTAGACAGATATCACAGGCTTCGTCTTCTCTCCATTTCAGTTCGGGTACTCCTTTTTACAGTGAGAGAGGAAAAGAGAGGGGGAGAGAGAGAGAGAGAGAGATGGGGAAGAAGGCAAAGAGCTCTAGAAAGGGGAAGAAGGAATGGCGGAGCAATATTAGCAGCGCAGACGTTGATGAGTACTTTGAGAAGGCAACAAAGGATGCACTCAGTGGAGGCTCCCTCACCCATCTCCCTGACCAATCCCTTTTCTTCATCGACAAAGACAAAGGTACAAAAAAACCCTAATTTTCTCTCTCTAGAACACTTTTTTCTCTCTCTCTTCCCTTTTCTCTCTGAATCCTGTCCTTTTTTTTTTTTAACCCTCCTGTAGACATGAATTTAAGTATCTTTTTTAAGACGATTTTCACTTTTTATCCTCTATTTGGATCGATCTCTATTTTCTGAATTAGATTTTGATTCTTTTTTAGTAATTAAATGTTGCCATTTTTATTTGCCTTGTACTTGTTTTTGCTGGGTACGGTTTGCCTTTTCGCTAACCGGTAGAATTTATCTATTTAATTTTTTTTCATTTATGAACTATTATTGCTTGACCTGTTTCTCATCAAATTGATTCATAAGATAAGCTGGTGATGTGTATCCAAAGCCATCGAAAGCGATTTCTTATTACTTATTTGGCGTATTATAATTTTCATTTCTTTTAGTGTAACTGTTAGAGGCTTTGCTTTTCAGTTTTTTATTTTTTATTTTTTCTGGATAATTTTTCATAAGTTCCCTGAAATTTCTGGTCTTAAATTTTTTCCTAAAGCTTAGACTTTTTTTTTAAAAGTCTTTCACAATATCTTTTTTCCCCTCTGGTACTCCTTTGAGTTAATCTCTAGGATTGTGCCACTTCTTGTTGACTTTGAACTGTTTTTATTCTTATATTTTGTATTTAAGATAGCTAACAATTTCAAAAAATTGTTTGCGTCAAGGAATAGGTAAATACAATCATAGTGCATAATAACATTGGCAAGAGAAAGATGAATAAAATAGAATGAACAAAATATAAGTTGGGAAGTAGGGATAAGTTTTCCCAGTTGAGAGAAGAGACTTATATATTTATTTTTTGACAGGTAATTCAGAGGAGAATGAAAGGCAAACCAAAATAATTTTCATGATCATAGGAACTCTGTGGTTGTGGTATAGTGGTGATGGAGAAAGAGTGGAACCCATCATCCAAAGAGCTCGCTGGATATCAGGGCATATTTTGGTTATTGATGTGTTTATCTGAGTCTCAAGCAAATCCATCTATGTGTTTCTGAAAATCCTAATGTTCCTTTCCCTTGTATTCATTGGAAACTGGCTAGGAGAGAGCACATGCTCTATAGTTAGCAAGCCTTATTCAGGCAGCCTTTCATGGGACCAGTGACTTGTGAGGTTCTCCAATGATCTAGGAATGATGAAAGAAACTTCAAACATTCTCCGAAAGTATTTCCATATTTTTAATATCAATGGACATCATATAGATGGTTGTAAGACCAGCTCCCTATATGATGTCCATTGATATTCCATGCTTTGTGGGACGGAATGTTGTGGGCCATACATATCAATGGACATCGTATATCGATTGACATCGTATAGTTGTGGGCCATAGTATTCTATGCTTTCCGGGAAAAGAAGCATGTATGGTTTACATTGTGAAAGATCTAGTATCTTAATGCATTTTATTTCTCCTTTACCTTTTTAAATTAGGAATTATTGCATTACTTTACAGCAGCTGTTAAAATTTTGTTATCTTTTCTACTCCTTCTACTTTTGTTTTATACGACTTATGATTCTATTCAGTCTTTGGTCCTCTTCCCCCTTTTGTCTCCTATAATTTTGTTTGAATTTACTTTTCCTTATTAATCATATTTCCCACGAGTTTTTGCCCTTTTTTAAATTGTTTTTTGTCCTTTCTCTCACTCTGCATTGATAATTGAAATGTGCCCTAGATTTCTCAATCAAGCGTAAAATTGAGAAGCACAGAGAGAAGGTCCTCCGATGTGACAGTATCTTACAGAGGAGCACCCTTGTGCAGAAAGTGCCGTCATCCAAGAGGAAGCCAAAAAAGTCGAAGGCCAAGGTTCTACCCAAGGAGAAGCTCAACACCATTAAAACAACTGAGGTGACTTTTTTTAAATTTCATTTCATTCAGGTCTTAATTTAAAACTCATGTACAACATTGATAAAGCCATGACAGGATTGGTTCTTCTATATGTAATGTGTATACTTCTAGTCATGATTATTTATGGATGGGGTATTTTTCCACACTTTTGTTTGCCACATCTTGGTATGCATTTTATATTAACCCAAAAAAAAAAGAGGAAACATTGTAAGGTTGAGTCAACTTCTAGTATGTATGATGTATTAATATAACGGTTGTGGGAAGTGCAATTAACCAAAATTTGAAGGTTAGCCCTATTAAAATCCGTGACACCTTTGAGAATGTGAAGAAAATTACCTTTTTTGTTGCTTTTAGAGGAAAATGTTTATACTAGTGAATGGTGAGAGAACTTAGAAATGTGTATTATACATCTCATGTCTGCACATGAGTTGTTTCATATGCAATTTCTTAATATTAGCTGTTTGTAACCATAATTGCAAACATTTTGATATTGGAGTAAGTCACTGTTATATTTTGGTAGTTTTCAAATTTGTCATCTAATCATGTTACTGAATTGAAGCATGCTTCTTTCTTTATTTAAAATGCTAGCTGTTTTTATAATGTTGCTTTCGCTCATGTTTATTTTCTCTATGATCAATTTGAACAGGCTGACCAAGATTCAAATGCTACAGTGCTTGACATATGGGATAACAAAGGTTCGGGAATACTAACCTTTTTTTATATTTCTGGTCAATTGAGTTGATGGACCTATTATTGAATGTTTTTTCCATGTACGTGCAGAAGGGGATACAAAGGCGAAAAAGGTGAAGAGCTTCAAAATTTACAACAAATTCTTTTCTATGATAGATATATAGAAAAAGCTCATGTCAGCCCATGGGCTGATGGAACAGTGTAAGCCCAACGGGCCAGATTGAATCTGGGCCGATCCAATAATCACAGTTGTATTTCATAATTGAATTTTAATTTTTTTTCTACAAATCCAAATCACTTGAAATTTGGAGCATCTATTCTTCGAAAATATTGGAATTGAATAAAAATATCAAAAAAATAATTCGCATAAAATAAGTTGACCAAAATAACCTTGAAAGTTTTCAGGGTATTTTGGTCAATTTATTTTATGTGAATTATTTTTTAATATTTTTATTAGGTGCGCCTTGAAGAGAAGAGTTGATGCTCCAAATTTCATATTATTTGGATTTATATAAAAAATATTAAAATTATACTCCCGAAATACATCCTTAACCGTCAGATCAGCTCAGATTTATGCTGGGCCGTTGGGTTTATACTATTCCATCAGCTAGTGGGCTGACTTTAGCAACTTCCATATATATATATATATATGAGCAATGATCCAATGCAACGGTTGTATCATTGTATAATGCAACGACACTTCTAGAAAACCATGTTTGTGGTATTTATATGACCCCAATTTTTGCACACACACTCTCTTCATCTCAATAATGCATCCCCCAAAAAAAAAGTTCAATTTGAACCTTAGATATAGTTAAATTGAGTCCCATCCAAAAACGAATTTAGACCATTCATTTTGTGAATTTCAAGATCTTAGCCTTTATAAACTCAAAATCATTTTTATTTTTATTTTTTAACATTGTTCATCTACTGATAATAAAGCCATCCAAAAAAATTG